AGTATCACCTATGTTCCCTGCCTTTGTCACTAGTACAATGACAAAGTGGACATGGCAGTGAAGAGAAACAGGATAGAATCTCTGTGGGATATTTTCAACTACTGTTCAAACACTGCCTCCCTCCCTTTATAATACCTTATTTCCTTAGTCCTAGCAGGTCCATGTACCTGTGCTTACCTATATAAGTGCCTAATAAGCATATAACCAGTGGAAACACACACACACACACACACACACACACACACACACACTACACACATACACACACACTATAATATTAAGAGAAGTATGGCACATTGAGGAGGAAATCCATAAACACCCATTTAATTCTTAATAGAATGAAAGTGGGAAAAACATATTTCTTTATGTGCATCTTCCACAAGGAGTTACTAGTCCTGAGTAGGCATAGAAAGCAGGCTCTACAAGGACAAATACATACACATATATATGTTGAGACAATTCTAGTTTAATGTAGATCCAAGGCCTGAATCCTACCTAATTTACAACACTGTCCTAGAAAAGACACTGTTTTAGGAATAACAATACATCTACAGATCTAATGCAGTCCCACCTTTCAAGACTCAACCCAAAATTGATGATTTGGAAGTTATGCTGGTTAACATGTGTTGTTTTGTGTTTGTTTTCTCAGATCAGAAGGTGTGTTTCCATTGTACCCTGTCAAAACCTTTCTCAGCAGTCAAGGAGCCAAGTTTGTAAATTCTATCAGGAAACCAGCCCATGTTGTAAGATGACATGGCTTTCAGACACTTCTAAACAGACTGGCTGGTTAAAGACCACCTCCAGACTTGATGTTGCTGAGCTCATCAGCTCCATCTTGCCATCCTGATTGGTCGAGGAGATGGTCTACGGTTAAGTGGCATAACACTTGGAGGGGTTAGTCATTAGAGCATACTGCTTTGTCCTGGGAAGGCAACTTCTTGCTTGGCCAGGTTTTAGAAGCTAAGGAGTGACGTCAAGATGTTGTCTGGCCAGAATTTGCAGATAACCATAGAACTCTTCTCCTCCATCAGGCATGGATTTAGCCTCCTTTAGTTCCTGCAGGGACACAGGAGCCTCCAAATACCAAATTATTATCAGGCGGTCTTGGGGGAACCTCTGGGCCCTGCAATAAAGTAGACAAACTTGCTATTGGAAAGTGCTCGGGAGCAATTCAGCCCTGTTCAGATTGCTTTAAAATCTTTCAAACCATCTCTGGATTTTAGAAATGAAAGCTAGTGCATAGCTCCCAGTAGTGAGAAAGTACTTTATTCAGGGGACAAAGCTTCTCATCACCCTTCACTTGAACACTCTTATGCATTACTTAAGAGGATACTGGTTGTATAATTTCTATTAGTCTGTTTTTAGTTTTTAAACAGAGCTATGTGAGTACTGGGGCTGTATCACTTTATGCGTCTTTTTGAGATAGGATCTCGCTATGCAGCTCAGGCTGGCCTTGAGCTTACTTTGTAGCCCAGGCTGGTCTCAACTTACAATAATCCTCCTGCCTCAGCCTCCTGAGTGCTGGGATTACAGGTGTGCACCACTACACCTGGCTGGCTATACCACTTTAAACAAGTCACTTCTGAGCATTATCTGAAATACAGCATTTACTTTACTTGCATAGTATTTCATGGTATAAGGCAGAAGATCACAAACAGGAAGTGGGCTGTGGCCCACATCTGACTCACCCTGATGTATTCTTATTACACTACCTAGTGTTTTAAAACCTGAGCGATTTAAATAAAATAATAAATACTGATTGTTTTCTTGAAAAATGGAGAGGTTGCTCATACTAGGCTCATACTCCTACACGCTTCCAGTATTCTACACCATTTGTCTAATCCAACCCATTTTCCCTGTTGACCTGCCAGAAAGGGAATGTTTCATAACTCCTGCTTATCTTACCGCCTAGCCATTGCATTGATATTATGTGATGACCTAACACTGGCCTTCCCCATTAGGTTCTCTGAGGGCAGGGAATAAACTGTCATTAGCACAGAATGTCTAGTTCTTAGCCCTGTGGTAGTATTGTAGATAAACTGCAGAAAGTCCATGAATTGCAATTCACTACTTAGATTAGAAGACTAAAATTCAGTGAAATGAAATGAAAATCGCATTTTGTAAGGTAAGGCCTATATTCTAAAGTTAACATCTTTTAGTAGCACCCAGTCTTGGAAAGAACAGTAAATATACCAGCTTGTGACCCCAGCTTCTGAAGGATTTGGAAAGATGTACAGAGCATACTAACCACATGATAGTTTTCTTTAAGCCCAGGAGAAGTATTCCAAATTAACTCTCTCTTTTTTTCGGATATCACCTACACAACTTCCTGGAACAGTCCTTCAAATGTTACTTGGAAGTTACTTTATTAAAATGTATTCAGTGAGAATCACCTAATTGAAAGATAAATTCAAATATTCATATATCTGTAGCAATAGATTCTCCTGTATGCCTTGTCTGTGCATTTTGAAATACTTTAACTTTGGGATAAGTAGAGCTAGCATATCCAAAGAATGGATGTTTCTGTTAAAATCTTATTTCTGCTAAAATTGTTATATTTGTTTAAATTGAATAATATATTATTAAAAACATGTCTGATAAATAGAATGCAATCAAGTTTGATAGGAATAAAGTCAATGAAAAGTGCTGTGAGTCATCTCGGTTGCAAGTGTACTAGTAATTGCTATTTCAGTTATAGCCACATCTGGCCAACATCTGGCCAACATCCAAGGAGTGGCACATGCCACACTATGAAGGCATAGCTCCATAGAGAAAATGCTGCTCGCAGGAGCGTAAATCTAATCTCAATGAGATTTCACAGACATGGACCCTAGAGCACTCACACTTGCTACTGAGCAAAAATCAACAGACACACTTAGAAAAAAAAAAAGTGAGGCAAACAGTGGTACTTAGAAAAGGGTGAAGGGAAGGAGAAGAGTAAATTTCTTCATTCTTTTTCTTTTAAAAAGTATTCATGGAAGATGTGTGATATTTAAGTATTCTTTGACCCATTGAAGAGTATATACTGCCTGATGACTGAAAACAAATTCTGCCGGAACAAGGAACTGCTTCTAATACCGGCCCGGGAGAGGCCTTTCTAAGCAAGAAGTGGGCAATGGAGCACTCTGGTCTGTAGTTGGTGGAGGCCAGAAGCTGGGAGAAAGTCCCAGGTCTCCTCCATTTTCTTCCAGTTCCTTTTAAGCAGGGATGACACAGATAGGCCGAGGCACAAAACCAGGAGTCTCTAAAAATACCCAAAATGTTTGCAAAAATCACCATGGACTCCAGCTGATGGAGAGGACCCCCCCCCAAAAAAAAGTCCTTTCAGGATGCCAACAACAAGGAAACATTTCTGGTGCAGCCCCAACTCAGCAGTGTCCCGCAGCTTTGTCTAGGGAGTTCTTGCCTGCCACTTCGTTTGCGATTTTGCTTTCTTCCTCATTTGTTCATTTCTCTTACTGGACATGTTAGGTTGGTGGTATCTGCTGATTTTTCAGATTTGTCTGTTCTCCATTGAAAAGGAAAGCAAACTTTGTGAGGGCATGTTGATTTTAGTCAACCTCACTTGTAACACAGCCTGGGGCTAAGGTAAGTACACCATTCAGCCCAGTCCTGGTGCTGTCAGGGATGTCCAAGTGCTCTATTCCAATGGAGAATAATCCAAACCATCACAACGTCTCCCAGAATGGTTTCCTGTTTCGTCTTCCTCTAGGTTTCAACACTATATGTGTAGAAGATGTCAAAGACTTCTGGAGGATGCCTACCTCATTAGAGAATGCCCATTTTAAGCAATGCCTCCATTCATCTTGTTTATGCCGCAACAGTATTAGAACTGAAAATGCACTTGATATCCAATAATACCACCAAGTCAAGGATCTCAAAATGCTGGGGCCATTTCATACATTACACGCTTGTAGTATTGTTCTTCTCAACTTTAGCTGAAGTCCAGCCTTAAAAACACTTTGAGATAATGGGGAAAATGACACATGTTTCCCTATATATTAATAGCTCTGATACTCAGTGCTGGGCCTGTACATCCCATGTGAGTTTTTAGCAGGTCAATTTAACTTTACAACAATCCTGCCTTACTTGGAAGAGAGGGAAAGGGAGTAGCATTGAAGAGAGGATAAGAACATGCAAATTGACAAGATACACACTCAATAGTGCAAGGGTGGCTCTTGAATCTGAATCATGAATGTCTGACCCCTCATGGCCCATTATTCATATATGAGGAAAGACCTAGAATTCTGGTGGCAAGAGACTGCTTCTCATTGTGATTTTAATCTTAGCTGTCCTTAAGGCTGTGATGCATACTTTATATTTGAGAAATGGCTTAGAAGACAAAATAAGGACCCAGAGAAAAAGCTCAAGCTTGGTAATGAAGAGTAATACATTCACTTGGCTTACAAAACATAATTCAAGTACATTTCACATGCACATCATCTGCTGTGAGGTCTCTTTGCTGGTGTGGGCTCCTCCTAAGACCTGATCTTAGGAACTAGGTCTGAACAACAAAGAACGAAGAACTACCCAGATTGATACAACCTGTGTGCAACACAGCACCCTCCCCACTATCTAGATTGCGTATTTTAGTTACTCTAGATCAACTAGATTTACAGCACATCAAATTCTGTCATCTATAACCAATGTGTATATATATATATATATATATATATATATATATATATATATACTAATGCTACTTCTGGTTTTTGTCTTTCTCAAGATAAGCATGCCTTGGTTTCAATTTCATGTTGACAAATGTTTTTGGAAAATGGATCCCTGGAGAAGTCAGTATCTCCCATCACACCAGGGGACACACCCTTGAGAATTCTATAAACAAGCAACTAAAAGATCTAGTTCATAGACCAAATGCAGCAAGAATCCTCAGGCATTTCACCGTCCCAACCCAGCCAGCTTTGAAGGAATCTGATAAGTGTGCTCACTGACAAGGCTAAGCAGAAGCAAAGGGGCTGAGAAGTATAAACAGCTGTACTTACATGTGTCTGGCTTGAGCTGACTGTTGGTGATGCCAAAGTACTGAGGATTTTCAATGACAGGGATCTTGGTCATTCCAATGATGACAGCATCCGGGCCTCCCTCTGAGGAAGATGGAGTGTTGCTCCCATTGGAGATGTGGTGCAGTGGGCTGGCAGAGTCATCATCGTTGCTGATAACTGAAGCTGGACCTGGCATTGTGAAAATACATATATTGTCCTGAAATTTCATGGCTTCATCTGAGCTATAATTCATGCACATAAAATTCATCAAGTTCAAGTATGCATTCATTGAGCATTGGTGCATTCAGGGTTGTGTGACCATCACTACAATCTAATTTCAGGACCTTTTCATCACTCTGGTCAGCCCTAATCCCCCACTGACCCCACACTGAGTGTAGGCATCTGTGAATTTACTCTCCAGCTCTGTGAACTTACCTAGTCTGACATTTTGTATAAATGGGATTATATCAAATATGTTCTTTTATAACTGGATTCTTTTACTTAGCATAATGTTTTTGAGACTGCTCCTCATTGTAGCATGTACTTTCTTTTATTCCAAATAATAGTGCATTATACAGATAGAGTGCATTTTATTTATCCATCTACAGCAGGATATTTGGGGTATTTGTACTACAGGGCTATTAGGAATAATGGAACTGAGAACTTCCATGTACAAATTTTGTGTGGATGCATGCTTTCATTTCTTTTGGGTTGAATTTGTAGGTGTGTGTTTAACACTTTTTTATTTTATTTTATTTTACTTTATTTTATTTTTTAGGGAAAGATCTGCAGGGTATTCAGAGTCTCATTACTAGATCAGACTCATGGTGATCTGCCTGCTTACAGCCTCCCAAGAGCTGGGATTGCAGGTGTGCGCCACCATGCCCAGTCTCAGTTGCCATCTCAGCATGCCCCAGGGGCAGGGCTGGCACTGTAGGCCTGGGGATAGAACCCCCTGCCCCTGTGCCTGCTTGAAGGTGCTTTAAGCTGCTGAGCTATTTGGCCAGCCCATCTGTGTTTAACACTTGAAGGAACTACTAAACTGTTTGCCACTGAGGCTCTACCATATTATACTCATACCAGCCATGTATGATGCTCTAGATTGTTTACAATTCTTTCTTTTGTCATTTAATATTCAGCTTTCCTCTGTTCTGTGAGCAACTTCAGAACACTGATAATGCAGTGTTAATTAGGATCCCTGTTTCACAGGGCATTGAAAGTCTTGCTAGGATCTTCAAGACTTCAGTTTTCCATCAGCATTTTGGACAGGCCACTCTTCTTCTTTGTACCTCTCTATGAGCTTTCATTGGTAAAATGTGCTAAGTAGTATCTGCTGGCTATTTTACGGGAGTGGAATGAGACTAGTGGTATGAAAATGCATTCTAAACTTAAATATGCTTCATAAGTATGAATTACAACTAGGTGTTCCTAAGTGTACTTCAATTGCAGAAGCAGAATTACTTTGCATTGTCCTGTTACCATGTCCCTTTTCTTGGATTCTGTGGATTCATGTACCACTTTTGTTTACAAAATACTATTCTTTAATTTTTTTTATTTTTAACATTTTTGAGGAGAATAAAAATAGTAGAAACACATTAGAAATAATACAGAATTTCACTAAACAAAATGATAGGAATTCAACAATTCAACAATGTTGTCATATTGCATATTTGTTTTCTTCAGATTAGTTGTTCAGATGACCAGATATAATCAGCCAAATGGAGTATTACTTAGCTATAAAAAAGATAAACACAAAGCTTTTTAAAAAATGTATTTGATATTGGGTCTCACTATACAGCTAGTGATCCTCCCGTTTTTTGCCTCCCCAGTGGTGGGACTGCAGGCATGGGCCACCACGCCCTTTCTTGGTGGCCAGTGAGTCTGTGGGGTATGTGTTGCCAGGGGAAGAAACCAGGTCCCTCTGCTTGCCTAAGCAGGCGCTTAGTCCAGAGTGCCCTAAACGCAAAGCTTTTATAAATACATGGATGCAACAGGAAGCCATGCTCATAAGTGAGATAAACTAGACCTGCATGTGTAAACATCATATTGTCTCCCTAGTATGAGGACCTGAAAGAGTAAATAAAATCTGAAAGGTACAATAGATACAATGAAAAGGAAAGAAACTATTCAAAGGGAAGGAACAACTGGGATGAGGTAAAGGGGGGGGCAAGAGAAAGATGGAAAGGAAAAATATATAGCCTATCATATTCGCAGGATTGCTTGGCTGCCTGTGCTGCTCATTCTTACTATCTATTGAAAGGAGTAGTTAATACTTACATTTTTTTCTTCTAAAGTCACTAACTTTGCTTTTAGCAGTAATAATATTTATAATTATTAGATATATGTGCTTATATTAAACCAATAATCAAAACATTTTTTCATACAAGACCTAAATTTTTTCAGCCCCAAGCCTCAGAATGTACACACCGATAGATATTTAATCTGCCATACATATTGTTTGTATATGTAAAATACTATATGTCCTACCAATATATGCAAGGTCTACTACTGTGTATAGTTTCTGAACAATTTCTTTATCAACCACTAAACTTCTACTACTTACAATCAAATCTAGATCTATGGTATATATGTTTATATGTAAGCTTGAAAACAATAGAACTCATGTCAGATATTCTGTGCATGGACATATGGTCTGTCCTGTTACATATATATTACACATGGGTCTCAGAAGCAGATCCCTGGCCACAGTCACTGACATGTCAAGAGAAAGGTGGGAAATGAATACCCTAAGGAGGGCAGAAAAGAGGAGTGAAACCAAGGCCAATGTGATTCTGAGGAAGGAAAAATCTGAACTCCCTGTGCCAGGGAAAGTGTATTACCCCAACCCCATCGCATATACACACACACACACACACACACACACAACACACACACACACACACACACACACACACACATAAAGGAGCCCTGGCTCAGTACTTCTTCACATTCTCCACCTTTTCCCTCACACTCAAGTACTTCAGTGAAAGACACAGCAATTCTAACACCAAAAGTTGTTTTGACAGGGCCTCTGATGCAGCTTTGAATCCCCTATTTCAGTCACAATTCATTCTCCAACCTACTAGAGGAATCTCCCCCTCACATGAGGATTTTCAAAGTTTGTAGTGATAACAATTGGATATTCCCCAGCTAGCTCTGTCTTAAACAAATCTTGCAGGAGGAAGCCAGCTGCTATTATAGGTAATTTTTAAAGCATTCTCTCAGTCAGATTGCATTTAAGTTGCCTTTAATGATATGCACTGGCTTGGTTTTGCAAACAAGTCCTCACACAACCAATTTAGAATCTTAAAGCAGGGCAAGTCTAGCAGCCATGCTCATCTGGAGCCTTGCTCACCTGTGTCAGAAAAGAGCAGAAATCCTGCCAAGAATAGCTGCAAAGACAAATTCTTTCTAATATCCCCAACCATCCCTGTTTTATGATCTGCTCCCTGCCAGGCTTAGATCATCCAGATTTTAGCCAGTGATGGGAAATAAGGGTGCACTATACTAAGGCTTCTGCATGTTACCAGTACAACTTTCCTGCCACTGGTTCTCCCACTCCGTCCCCCAAGCAGCTGTCCAGCAAAGTTCCTGAAGAGAGCTATACCCAAAGCTTCCACAGGAGCTACAGTCAAGGTTGCACACTTCTTAACAGATTCCAACCTACGTCTTTACCTGCAGAAATGTTTGAGTAATTGTTTTCTCAAAATTCCAGGTGCTGTCAGAAATATTCCTTCCTGGAGGTCCAGCAAGGGTTGGAAATGCGTCAACCTCTTTCACATATCTCTGATTGCCCTACAGCCCAGGGCAGAAACAAACATTACAGCAGTGTTCGCTCATTTCTGAGAAGGTTGATATCCACAAGAGAATCTCAAGATTCCTTCAGGAATCCAAGCTCTGAATCATGGCCGAGCACTCAGAGGAATCCCTCCCCAGAATCCAACCAAGAAACTCACCTTCTGCTTATCCTTCTCAACAAAGGGAACTCTTCCCCTGCCCTTTCTCTGCAATTAAAACTCTGAATCCTATGCAACCAGATTTTAAAGGAAGGGCTATTTGGTGGGGAAGCTGGGGACTAGTAACCACAGAAGTGGTATAAAGTACAAAAGGCGATATTTTAAAAGGAAGGTTTCTGTAAACAGACCAAAGCAACAACAGCTTCAGCAATTAATCATGTGGAACATTAAGCCAAGTGTTGTTTCCTTCATTATTGGTGTTCCAAAACTGGAAGATTGATTGAGCTAGAGGAGTTGAAGGAACTACATCCTTTCTTCTATCAACCTTTTGGTATAAGGTAACACGTGCACAGTGGGGAGGTGATGGGGGAGAAGAGCTCGCCACAGGGACAGTGAAGGGCTCTATAATTGATTTGGATGCAGCCTGTCCCATGCTTTCCATGTGCCTTCATGTATCTGCTGTGTGTTCAAGCAAACATCATGAAGAAGACAAAAGGTCAGAACCACATTACAGTACAGTACAAGAAACTGCTATGAAGACTAGAATGTGTATCACAATATGAATATAAAGTTTTAAGCTGCCAAATATGCCCATACTTGCTGAGTATGGAGTAGATACTTCCACTAACTGAGCTGCCAAGAATTATGGCAAGAAACGCATTTAGCCTGTTTTTATTTTATTATACCTTACATCCAAGAGACATTTTTTCTTATCAGAGCCCCTGGTTATACAGCCTGCACATCTGTTTGTATATTTCTAAGCTTAGAAATATATAAGACTTACTTTCCAGTAAAATGATGGAGGAAGGTCATTTGGGAAAGAGGTTTCATTGTCTCAATACCAACAAAAACTAGAAGGGGAGGGGAGAGATTATTATTCCCGAGCTGGTGTAATATCCATGCCTTTTATTTTCTGTGTTCTGGAATTTGACACCTGGACCCTGCTGACAGTGGGAGTCTCTCCAGGGCTAGACAGCTGCTAGTGACAGTAAATACCTTGCCTACAAGCTCTTCTCTCAACCAAGACACACTCTGGGCCTAGACGCCCCCCTCCATGCCACCACTTCCTTATCCAGTCCTCACACCCCAGCCACTGTGGACTTGCCCCACCTGGCCCATGGCCAGGTTCCTCAAAACACAGGAAAGACCCTGTGCCCAGGATCTGCTGAAATAACTCCCAATGGCCAATCCTAAGCCTGCTTACTCTGCCTTGCCATTGTATGTTTGTCCTTGCTCTGCCTCCCAGTTTGCCGTGGGGTCCTGCTGTGCAGCTGTTTGTGGCAGGAAATGTCTCCTTCTAGGTCCTGAGCAGCATTCTGTCTTTTCACTGGCTATCATCTCCAAACCACCTCTCATGGGTTGTAGTTGGTACAGTCTGACAAATGCTTTCTCCTAAGGCCTAAAAGGGCAAAACCATAATTTTGAAGTTTTCTGGGAACAAAAACATCCTGTAGTGTAAACTGTTTTGAAAAACTGCAAGTGGTTGCAGGATTTGCTATTAAGTGGAAGGAAGAAGGCATCATAGTATATTATTGTAGGAGACTATTTTTTCTCTTTTACACACACACACACACACACACACACACAACTACTACTATTACTACTACTACTGCTACTACTACAACTACCATTACTATTACCACCACCACTACTACCACCACCACCACCATCACCACCGGGAAAGTCCTAAAGAAAGACACCTTTGCATCTTGTACAGCAATTAACCACTAAGGAGAATATATGCAGTGTATTATTTGTTGAAACTGTACTTCCGATTTGATTTGAAACTGTCTCATTGCTATCTGTTTATCAATAAAACTTTGGAAAAAAAAAAAAAAAAAAAGAAAAACACCTTTGAAACTCTCCCAGGGCTGGCCAAATAGCTCAACAGATTAAAGTACCTGCAAGCAGGCACAGGGGGCAGGGTTTCTATCCCCAGGCCTGCCATGTTGGCCCTACCCCCAGGGCGTGCTGGTGATTGAGACTGGGCATGGTGGCACAGGCCTGTAATCCCAACTCTTGGGAGGCTGTAAACAGGCAGATCACTGTGAGTCCAACCTAGTAATGAGATCCTGAACACCCTGCAGATCCTCCCCTGAAATACAATAAATAAATAAATAAATAAATAAATAAATAAATAAATAAAATATAAGAAAGTGAAACCCTCCCAGGCAGGATGCCTTTACAGCAACATGGTCTACACATCTGCAGAGTGATGGTGATTGGCTAGCCAAGGCTGAAATTCCTGTAGGGAGCAGCTGGGAGGTCTTGAGCTGGCTGAACTTCGTACTTTCCCCTTTGCCTGTTAAGAGCTTTGGTTTTGAACTCCCTGGAGCTGTTAAGGGTCTGGGTGACTTTCTCCCTCCAGGCCCCATCTGGCCAATCTGCTTCTGCCTAGGCTTAGCCCACTGGGCTATGCTGAGAAAGGCTGCTTTACAGGACAAAGTCTACAACAGGCTCAAAACACAGGCAAGGAAACAAGTTTCTTTACACAGTAGGATGAACAAATAGAGGGCAGAGACTTTCCCTTACTTTCAACCAACTCTGCTACCAGAAGAGATACCACCACCACCAACAGAACCTGCCCACCATGGTCAGATCCTGGAAGCCCTAAGAGTGATATAAAACAGTCTGCTCCTGCCTTCTGTGTGCTCTCCGTTTGTGATCTCTGTACTGACAGAAAATGCTGAGTACATTGCAGGTCCTGGGATCACACCTAATTTCCATCTTAATGATGAGCTCTATCATCCACATTCACTTGGTTAGCTACAGACTCATCCTTTCAATTGCCACCACCACACACTCTGAATGCAGGAACGGGATGTAATCAAGCACAAATCACAGTGCTGGACTTCAAAATCAATTTTAAAAGAAAAATGGCCACAAATGAGCAGCTGATTCATCAATTCAAAATCCTGTTCCATCTTGGCCAATGGAACGAAGTTAAGAAAAAACTTGTCCGGGCTGACAGTGTAGCCTCTGAGTCCTGCAGGTGGAGGGGTAGTGGAGCTGCGGTTTCGGTCTTTAACCTGAGAAGCACTTCACCCTCTACAACAGACACAACTCTGCAGGGTAAAACAAGTCAATTTCGAAAATGCAGAACCTTTTACTGGACTCAATTAGCAAAGTGATACCCTTTCTGAAAAGAACACTTCTAGACCTCCTTCTTCAACAAATCAGAAACCAGAATTACAGGAAGTGGTCCAAGGACCAAGGAACATGAAGAATATCTGAGCACTTTCATCTGAATTCAACAACAGAATCTCATTACTTATCTGAAGAAGGAAGCACTACTTACCAACACCTTGTCTTGATTTTACTTTCCCAAATCCAAACCATGAGAAATCTGAAAACCACAACAAAACATAAAATAAACTTCGAAACAGAAGTAGAAACTAAAAGCAGTCAGCACTGTTCTTAACCAGGTAAGTGAGCAATCCCACCACCCAAAATAAGAAAAATGTAAAGAAAAAGAAATAAATAAAAACACTGAGAACCAAGATTTTCTTTCAAGCACCTGGAAACCAACTCTTGGATATTTATGTAAATATTTAATTCTCATCCTGAGAACATGGAAGGAAATTAAAGTCAGATAATAGATAGCACCCTGTTTTTAAAAACACTACAATTCAGGGGTTAAGAGCTCTGTGCTGTTTTCTTTATTTCTCATTTTCTTTCTTCCCCAAGTGGATAGCCCAGTACTGAATTATCGTCCAGGAAAAGAATGAAGACTCACAAGTTTTTTGACAAAGCACTATGATTCTGAACCACACCAATGTGGGGAAATAATGGGGGGAAACCAGGTTTCTTCTAACACCAAGACAAGTAGCAAAAAATGAACAGGAAATTCCAGGGGAGACCTGAAATGTGAATTAGAATTCATAAGGGGGATGCAAGATCTTAATTCTACATGAATCCTCTTTACTGTCTTGCAGTAAAGGTGGCCAGTCGAGAGCAGCCCCATGCCTTTCACCACACAAAGCTCTGATAGGCATGCATGAGGAAAGACTCTACGGGTAGGGAACAGAGAGGCCCTAGGGAGTGAGTCCCTGAAAAATTTCTATGCGGGCTGGCTATTCCCCTGTAGGTAATCGCTACTGGTTTCCAAGTAAATGCTGCACAGCAGGTAAATCCCTGAACACGAGCCAGAGAAAGAAAACAGAGACCAAATGAAGTCACAGTGCTTCTCTTTAGCCATCTCAGTTCTGTAGTGATTTCCACAGATAGTAAAGATAAAAAGCTCATAGAAAGAGAATGCATTTAAGGTAAAGCACATTTAAAAATTCCTTGTGTGCTCAAAGATGCCTTATAAAGTTGCCAAAAACGTTTCCTTTTTTTGTCAAGCGTAAGTATAAAGTTTTCCTTCCTGGTATCCTACAACTTCAGCCTTCCAACCTCAAAGCTGATTGCCTCTTCTGATGGATGTCCCTCTGAAAGCTTCCACCGAGGTTTTAAAGGACAAGATGAAAGCCTGGCCTTACCCAAAGCCAAATAAAGATTTCTTTGCCAAGAAGCTTCACAGCTTCCAACTGAGCAATGCAGAGATGTGGTTATGGATTTGATGGTCACGACTTACCCCATTCAAAATGGAGTGTATTTCCTACTGGTGACTTTTTAGACTTCTATGTTTGGCTTACTTATAAAATATTAAATGCGAGTTCCATCGTGTCTTCAGTAAATGGAAGGGGACATTTAATACTTTACAATAAAACAGGCTTTGTGTTAGAAGACTTTGCTCACCTGTAGACTAATACAAATATTTCAAACATGTTTAAGGTAACATGTTAACAGCAAAATGTTAAGTAGATTAGGGCATTAAATGCATTTTGGACTTATGGTATTTCAACTTACAATGGGTTTATCAAAACATAACTCAGTCATAAATTGAGGAATATCTACTCCCCATGAATCATCCAGTTATTGCTGAGTTACTTTCTCATCAGCAGGACACGCTACCCCACATCTACATTTTAGGAAGGAAGTTTTACTTTGGCTTACATTTTCAGAAGTTTCAGTCCATAGTTATTAGTTTCAAAGACAGAAACAGCAAGGTGGAAGGGAACAGACTAGGCCTGCTCGGGTCAGAGAACCCAGGAAGCAGAGAATAAAGGGAGGAGCTGGGAAGGGGCTGCACCCTGCCAGGCCACACTTGGTGGCTTATTTCTTCTGATCAGACCCTAGACCCTAGGAGCACACTCAGTCCACTGATGAACACAGCAGCCCATGGCCCAGTCACCTTGCAAAGTTCTTCTAGGAAATGTTCTAAATCTGAGCCACAACACATGGTGCATGTGGAATAAGCAAAGGCTGAATCAACCATTTGGATTTTTTAGTGAAAAATGGTGATGAAGCTAAAAGAAAAAAAAAAAAGACAAATGCATCAGGTTAGGGTCTAAGATGGTGAAAATTAAATTTAGGGGAAAAGTGCTTTGGCTTCAGAGTAGAGTCTGGATTAGGGGAGAGAAAAACTAAGAATAAAAGGTGGTTGTGACGTTTTAAAAGAAATCAAACATGAGAACACTGGCCCAAGCTAGGTACTAGGGGATGGACCAGTGAAGAGGAGCAGATCACTGACCACCAGGCAAGGAGCAGGAAGAAGGGCTGGGAAGTCTGGGTTAAGATTGCTGCTCATATGAGATGCTGCTGTGGGGTCTCCAAAGAACCTAGAAAGTCCAACTTAGATGTCAAACTGCGAACAGTGATTTAGTGCATGAATCCTAGATAAGGTGATTATGTGGACAAAAGGGGAGGACTGCAACAGCTGGAATCTCAAGCCCTCAAAAGGCCTGTGTTGAATTGTGGTCCCTGGAGTGGAAGTGCAGGAAGATGGTGGAGTCTTCAGAATGTGGGGCCTCCCAAGAGTCTTTTAGCCACTGAGGAGTGCCCTTGAGGAAGTGTGTGACTCTGGGCTCCTCCTCACTCTCTTTGCACCCTGCCACGGGTAAGCAGTTTGGCTCCCCCATATATTCCCACCATGATGTGCTAGCAAGCCAGGAGTGACAGGCCAGCCATGGGTGGCCTGGAGCCCCCTACACTGCCGGGCAAAAGTAGGGCTTTTCTATTTATATGTTGCTTTTTTCCAATTATTTCTGTCATCATGACAAGAAGCAAGCTAACACAGGTAAACATCAGAGGACCAACTGGCCTGGAGTTCAGGACAGCTTAAAGAGCCAGGATGAAGTCACCCAAATTCTATAGCCAGAGATGAAGTGGAGGATGAAAGTGGCCTCTAGGGCTGGAGAGATGGCTTGGTGGTCTAAAGCACCTACTTAGAACAAGCTTAGCAAAAGCATCAGGGACCGCGGTTCAATCCCCCAGCGCCACATGCCAGCCAGCCCTGCCCCCTGGTGG